CACACTCGCTCTCTCTCTCTCTCTCTCTCTCTCTCTCTCTCTTCGCACGATCGGTGGGAGCGTGGTTCTCTGGAGACGGTGGGGGTCCGAGGATGGGGTGTCATCGAACAGGACGGCGGTTATAACCAAGTGCGCAAATGGGGTGGGGAGGGGGAAGGTGAGGCGGGGTGGGGTGGGACCGTCGGGGATGGGGTGCGCAGGGTTTTTGTTGAGGTGAGGATGGCATTGGGCGAGGGACACGGATCCTGGGCTGGTCGTCCAGGATCCTGCGCGTCCCAGCGTGAGGTACGTATGGAGGGGGGCGGGGACCACTTTCCCCACTTCAGCGTCTGATGGGGAGCACAGTGGGAGGGAGAAGCCACTAATTGGTGGTTGCCAGACCCTTCCCAGGCCGCGGTCCCCCGTCCGCTCCGAGTCCCAGGAGCCAGCTCCAGCGCCCCCCTTCCCCAGGCGAGGTGTACCGCGCTCTCCTAACCATTTATTTCTATGGTTGTAGTTCCAGGGCTGCGCGCTCACCCGTTTACTTTCAGTTTAGGAAACGGTCGCTCACCCCTCTCCACCACCATCTCCCCCCACCCCGTTTCCTCTTCTGTGCCCCCTCAATCTGGTTTATCCAAAAGTTGACTTTGTTACTATTTAAAATGACCAGCGAAGGGCTGGTCACCTCTTCACTCCCGCCGGGCTGTAACAGCAAGAGAAGAAAAGCCCAATAGCACAGTGGAGGCGGCGGCGGTGGGGATGGGATGGGAGGGAGGGGTTAGTTTGTGGAAACGTGCAGAAGCCCGTTGGCCTAGGTATGGGGGAGGTGCGGGGGGGGCAGGTTGATTTTTATTTTAAGGGACTGGGGTAGGAGGGGTGGTGGAGATGGAGAAGAATTCTATTCCTGTGGAATAGCTCCTAACTCCAGTACTAAAATTAGGAGTGCAAGAGAGAGGAAAATAATAATAATAATATACATGTCACCCAAACGCACTGCCAGTGTTTCCTACGGAGAGCCGGGAGCTTTAGGGCCCTACCTAGGACAGAGATTCTCATCACTTTTCCAGGAGCCCTCCCCAGATTTCTCTGGGTGCTCCAAGGTTTTTCCTCATTGGGGATGGAGGGAGCCAAAGGAAAAGAAGAGAAGCAAAGAAAACTGAGACGGATCTAGGTGTAGGGTGGTGGGTTGGGGGGCCAGCCTGGTGTTTCCAAAGGAAAACTTTGTCCCCGAAGTCAAGCAACAAAATTTCAAAAAGGAAAAACAAACCCAGACAAAACAAGCCGGGAAGAAGAACATTGTTTCCGCTGTGGTTAAGACTTCAAACGCTCCCACGGAGGCGGAGGAAAAAATGCACCTCGATGAGATAAGAAAGCATGCAAAAGGGGAAGCTCAAACTGCCTGGTGTTGGCAAAGCAAAGGCACCTGCATCTCAAGTCCGAGGCAGGAGAGCGCAGCGTCCAGCTCGGCAGTCACCCTCGGAGATGGTTAACATCTAGGGGGAACAAGCAGGTGCGTCCACTTCCTTTCCTGGGGAGAAGTACCCGCAAACATGGGAATCCAGTGCTTGGTCATCTGGAGAGAATTTTTCCCTCCTCACGACGAGCCCAACCATACCTGACGTTCTTACTTCGATGCGCCTGGCTCATTGCTACACAATCAGAGAATCCGTTCAGCAATTACCTCCAACAAATCGTTCTTGCGGGCCTACTATGTGCTTGGCACAAGGCAATAAAAATTCCTCCTCGGTTTCCTAAACCGATCCTTCTGGAGAGGGCTTGATTGCTCAAGGAAGGCAACCAGAAAAGCGTCTGCATGATTTTTAAATGCATCCCAACGAGCAACGCAGTAGCGTTGACTTTAGAGGACCAAGTTCTTCCGTTCATTGAACTGGAAATGTAACCGTTCTAAATGGTTTTGCTTTTGTTTTGGCGACAGATTTTTGTGGGAGATGAAGAGAGTCCCTTTTCATTGCAAATATATGCATGCAGACCCCCCCAATCAACTCATTATCAAGAGAACTATGTTTAAATGCATGCTTAGGGCACAGTGTCCCCCTTCCCCCCCTTGATGCATCGCAAGCTTTCCCATCCTCGCCCCAATTCACCGCGATCGTTATTTCAAATAGCAAAGAAATGTGACCTGACCACCTGCCTCCTCAGGGGCTCTGTGAACTAAATGAGGAGCAATGTTTATCTCCAAGATGAGCAACGCTGGCCACACACACACGCACACGCACACCACCCACGGGTCATCTGCACCCCGACTAGACGCTGAAAAGGACTTAGTCTTAGGGCAGAGAGAAGGTTAGGGTGGCCCGATCTCCAGCCCCGCGGTGCGAGGCCTCGAGTCGGGGGGAAGCCATTGGAGATGCTGCTAATGAGGGATGGGCGCCAGCCAGTTTTGATCTCGGCCTTCTGATGTGCTTTACCTTCTTTGGCGGACAACGCGATGCGTAAGAGTTTTGTCTCCGCCAGGGTCCGACCCCGCCGGGTGAAGGAGCCCTTCTCTCCCGCAGGCGCGGTGGCGCTTCAGGGTTTAGCTTCAGGAACCGGGACCCCGGCTGCTGCGAAGGCCGGGCGGGCTGAGTCTGGAGGAGCCGGGCTGGGAGGTAGAGCGTACTCCGCCCGGAGGAGGAGGAGAAGGGGGAGGAGGACGCCCCAGATGGCTGGCGTCGGCCAATCAGCGCGCACACCGCCTGACAACTGGCCAATCGGAGGGCGCAGAGCTGGGTGGAGTGTGGGGAGGCGAGTGGATAATACTAGGGAGGGGAGCGGAGGCTGGAGACCGCGGTGTGGGCGCCGCACACCCCGCCGTGGCGTGCGTGCGTGCCTGCGCCTGCGGGGAGAGGCTGCGTGGAGAGCCGGCGACCAGGGCTGGCCGGGCCTCTTGGAGGTCAGCAGAAGTCGAAAGCGGACTCAGCCCCAGAGCACAGCCCCGGGCTGGAAGACGGAACAGAACTTGGCAGAGTTTGGGAGGCGCTGGGAGAGGACTGGCCTCCCTCCCTTCCCGGCTCCTACACTCTCCTCTACCTCCCTCTCTCCCATGCCCACCTAAAGGGGCTCGGGGCCGCCTGTCATCCCCACTCTCAGGCTTCGTGGCACGGGGTGGCCACGCTCCCTTCCCTCCCCGCCCCATTTCCATTTGCACGCACCCTCTGCAGCCCGATCCTCAAGCTGGAGACCTTTGGACTCTGGGCCTCCGAGTTCTGGTGAGTTCGGCGATGCCTGCGGCCGGGGTGTCGGGGAGGAGCCAAGGGTTCGAGCCACCTTTCCACGTCGGTTCTGTTTGACTGGCCTGTCTGGCTTTCCTGGAAATCAAGAAGCGTGGCTCGGCCCTGTGCGGGGTGATGCTGATCGAGTGACTGTCGGTTTTCAGTTGCCTCTTTGGGGATGAGGGGAGGGGGTGATGGGAAGACCTTCTCCAGGGTCCCGGTGGTGGTGATGGTGGTGTAGGGAAACGAGAGGCTTTGGGGAAGCGTCAGTGTTGTTTGTGGCAGGAAGAGCACCGGCATCGGTGCGCTTTTCTTTCTTCCGATGTGCACCCTGGCCGCGGGAGTTGGGTCTGGCAAGGCCTGAGGTTTAGGGCGGCCTGGGCAGAGGCGGTGGCCCCGTGTCTGAGGTCAATGAGCTCCTGGGGGATTTGTTTCTGGAGGGCTGTGTTTGTTGGCGGGTCTGGTGCTTACAGATCATCGGGAATCCATGACATGAAACTTCCCACCCCCCCCCCGACCCCCGTTGGACTGTGGATCGCTGGGGCCCTTAGAGATACAAGAAAGGACTCCAGGAGGGAGGATTCTAGAGCAGGAGAACTCGAGGCAGAAGCCTGGCCTGTGGAAGGCCCGGGCCGCAGGCTCAGGCCTGGCCCCTGCCGACCTCGGGCGCGTCTTGGGACCGGGTTCTGTGTCTCCCCAGAGTGTGGGCAGCCGAGACCAACGAGGCACCGCGCGCGCGCGCGCCATGGCCGGTCGGCCGGCAGGTCCTGCAGCCGGGGACTGGGAGATCGACGTGGAGAGCTTGGAGCTGGAGGAAGAGGACGGCCGTGGGGCGCCGCCGCCGCCGCCACCCTCGCCACCCAGCCCGCTGGCGGC